CTCAGGTTGTATATTTTTTGTTTTCGCTCTGCTATGTATTGGGGAACGCTCACGTGTAACAGTCTCTCGCCTTGGAGGTGAGATGAGGCATCTTTCCCTTCCTCTTTTAGCCAGGAAGTACGGATTACTTTTCGCAGTTGTGGATGCCATACTTGACCGCCTACCACCGAAGGAATTCTGGACGCTTGATTGGTCGTGGCCATTTTCTGTCCTGTGCAAACTGAACTGAACTGACCTGACTGAACCATATTTCGGACACCGGCGTCTGATTGTGATTCTTGACCGCCTTTTTCAATTTTCTTGATTTGTAATAATGGCAGCAATCGAAAAACCCATTTGGGACGATGTTGAGGTATGTATTGATAAATGTCAATAATAAACAATTTAGGAATCTATTGTTGAAGAGGTAATGCGTATGTCGAATGAAGAGCTGGTTAAACGGGCTCGCCTCCTAGATGCGGAGATAAGGGTATTTTTCTTATTGGTGCATAATTTTTGGTAGTTTATGAAGTCCGAATTGCATCATGTTGAACATGAAATAAAGACAAAACAAGCCAAGGTTAAGGATAGTAAAAGTAAGATCAAGATGAATAAGACGTTGCCATACCTCGTTGCCAACGTTGTGGAGGTTAGTGCTCTTTTCTCTCTTACCGTGGTAGTTGTTGGAAGTGACTCCTCAAGACTACGAAAAAGAAGATGGCGCCAATGTAGATTTGGATTCCCAGCGGAAGGGAAAATGTGCAGTCATAAAAACTAGCACGCGACAAACTTATTTCCTCCCGGTAATCGGCTTGGTTCCAGCGGAAGAACTCAAACCAGGGGATCTTGTTGGAGTAAACAAGGACTCATATCTAATATTGGAGAAGCTTCCTCCAGAATTCGATTCTCGCGTGAAGGCTATGGAAGTTGATGAACGACCGACGGAGCGTTACAGTGATATTGGTGGCTTGGACAAGCAGATCCAAGTATGAATGATTTTATACCCTCATGATTGAATACTAGGAACTTATAGAGGCGGTTGTACTGCCTATGACTCATAAAGATCGCTTCGAAGCTATCGGAATACAGCCCCCTAAAGGAGTCTTGCTTTATGGACCTCCAGGCACCGGTAAAACGCTTCTGGCTCGTGCTTGTGCTGCGCAAACGAAGTCCACATTCTTGAAGCTTGCCGGCCCCCAGCTAGTTCAGATGTTCATAGGAGACGGCGCGAAGCTTGTTAGAGATGCATTTCAGCTGGCTAAGGAGAAATCACCAACGATATTATTTATAGACGAACTGGATGCCATCGGTGAGTGTCGCTTCTCAGTTTGTTGCACCCATTGTTTTGGGCCGTTCTTGAAGATAAACCCTGTCGGCATCACTGTCCTTTTAAAGTCCTCAGGCTTCAAACCAATGATGAAAGTATTCTTTCTACTCTCCTTAATTCTAATTATGCATCTAACTGATCTCCCTATTCTGGTAGACGGCTTCGCTGTTGCACTACCTTGACTACACTATCACGCCTGATCTATTGAAACTCATACATGGTCCACCACTCCAAACATCAGGTTGATGGTTACCTGTTTCCTTCTTAAAACATAAACATGACAATGCGAAATCATTTTCACTTGCTCTACGCATTCACAGAGCATTTATGTAAGCATACTCACCAACACTCACAGACTGAATCGCAACATAGAGTCTGTGCATCCATTTCTCCTTTCGCGGTATTTTGCACCGAAACACAAATACCCCCTTTAGAAATGACCCATCCTTTAGTGGTGGTGGTGGTGGCGCAGTGGTTTAGCCACTTTCACCGGCCTAATTGGGACCTTATGGTCCGAGGTTCGAGCCCCGCCGCCGCTACTTCATCATCATCCATCATTGTACAGCGTAATACAGTAGAGCGAACTTCACTGATCGCTGCCAAACTCACATTACATACAAGGCAAGTGATAATGTGTAAGGAGGACAGGGATTATACCTATTTTGGGGACGGGAAAAGAAAGCAAACCTCTATGGTCAACAGAGTACACATTCTAACTGTGCATACGTACTATTTCA